CTCTATATGAGTTAGTTCATCATACAGAATTCTGTATGACAATGAACTCTACATGAGTTCATCATACAGAGTTCTGTGACGATGAACTCTATATGAGTTAGTTCATCACACAGAATTTGGTATGACGATGAACTCTTTCTGCGTTACTTCATCATAAAGAGTTCTGTATGATGATGAACTCTGCATGAGTTCATCATACAGAGTTCTGTATGACGATGAACTCTACATGAGTTCATCATACAGAATTCTGTATGACGATGAACTCTACATGAGTTCATTATACAGAGTTCTGTATGATGATGAACTCTACGTGAGTTCATCATACAGAGTTCTGTATGACGATAAACTCTACATGAGTTCATCATACAGAGTTATGTATGACGATGAACTCTACATGAGTTCATTATACAGAGTTCTGTATGATGATCAACTACGTGAGTTCATCATACAGAGTTCTGTATGACGATGAACTCTACATGAGTTCATCATACAGAGTATTGTATGACGATGAACTCTACGTGAGTTCATCATACAGAGTACTGTATGATGATGAACTCTACATGAGTTAGTTCATCATACAGAATTCTGTATGACAATGAACTCTATATGATTTAGTTCATCATACAGAGTTCTGTATGATGATGAACTCTGCATGAGTTCATCATAGAGTTCTGTATGACAATGAACTCTACATGAGTTCATCATACAGAGTTCTGTATGACGTTGAACTCTACATGAGTTATTTCATCATACAGAGTTCTGAGATGATGAACTCTATATGAGTTAGTTCATCATACAGAGTTCTGTGATGATGAACTCTATATGAGTTAGTCCATCATACAGAGTTCTGTATGACGATGAACTCTACATGTGTTAGTTCATCATACAGAATTCTGTATGACAATGAACTCTACATGAGTTCATCATACAGAGTTCTGTGACGATGAACTCTATATGAGTTAGTTCATCACACAGAATTTGGTATGACGATGAACTCTTTCTGCGTTACTTCATCATAAAGAGTTCTGTATGACGATGAACTCTACATGAGTTAGTTCATCATACAGAATTCTGTATGACGATGAACTCTACATGAGTTCATTATACAGAGTTCTGTATGATGAACTCTACATGAGTTCACCATACAGAGTTCTGTATGACGATGAACTCTACATGAGTTCATCATACAGAATTCTGTATGACGATGAACTCTACATGAGTTAGTTTATCATACAGAATTCTGTATGACGATGAACTCTACATGAGTTCATTATACAGAGTTCTGTATGATGATGAACTACGTGAGTTCATCATACAGAGTTCTGTATGACGATGAACTCTACATGAGTTCATTATACAGAGTTCTGTATGATGATGAACTACGTGAGTTCATCATACAGAGTTCTGTATGACGATGAACTCTAGATGAGTTCATCATACAGAGTATTGTATGACGATGAACGCTACATGAGTTCATCATACAGAGTACTGTATGACGATGAACGCTACATGAGTTCATCAAACAAAATTCTGTATGACAATGAACTCTATATGAGTTAGTTCATCATACAGAGATCTGTATGATGATGAACTCTGCATGAGTTCATCATAGAGTTCTGTATGACAATGAACTCTACATGAGTTCATCATACAGAGTTCTCTGACGATGAACTCTATATGAGTTAGTTCATCACACAGAATTTGGTATGACGATGAACTCTTTCTGCGTTACTTCATCATAAAGAGTTCTGTATGATGATGAACTCTGCATGAGTTCATCATACAGAGTTCTGTATGATGATAAACTCTACGTGAGATCATCATACAGAGTTCTGTATAACGATGAACTCTACATGAGTTCTACATGAGTTATGAACTCTACATGAGTTATTTCATCATACAGAATTCTGAGACATGAACAACTGATTATTGAGATTCACAGATTATGATGATAACTCTACGTGAGTTCATCATACAGAGTTCTATATACTCTACATGAGTTCATCATACAGAGTATGTATGACGATGATCTCTACATGAGTTCATTATACAGAGTTCTGTATGATGATCAACTACATGAGTTCATCATACAGAGTATTGTATGACGATGAACTCTACATGAGTTCATCATACAGAGTTCTGTATGATGATGAACTCTACATGAGTTAGTTCATCATACAGAATTCTGTATGACAATGAACTCTATATGATTTAGTTCATCATACAGAGTTCTGTATGATGATGAACTCTGAATGAGTTCATCATAGAGTTCTGTATGACAATGAACTCTACATGAGTTCATCATACAGAGTTCTGTATGACGATGAACTCTACATGAGTTAGTTCATCATACAGAGTTCTGTGATGATGAACTCTATATGAGTTAGTTCATCATACAGAGTTCTGTGATGATGAACACTATATGAGTTAGTCCATCATACAGAGTTCTGTATGACGATGAACTCTATATGAGTTAGTTCATCATCCAGAATTCTGTATGACAATGAACTCTACATGAGTTCATCATACAGAGTTCTGTGACGATGAACTCTATATGAGTTAGTTCATCACACAGAATTTGGTATGACGATGAACTCTTTCTGCGTTACTTCATCATAAAGAGTTCTGTATGATGATGAACTCTACATGAGTTCATCATACAGAGTTCTGTATGACGATGAACTCTACATGAGTTCATCATACAGAATTCTGTATGACGATGAACTCTACATGAGTTCATTATACAGAGTTCTGTATGATGATGAACTCTACGTGAGTTCATCATACAGAGTTCTGTATGACGATAAACTCTACATGAGTTCATCATACAGAGTTATGTATGACGATGAACTCTACATGAGTTCATAATACAGAGTTCTGTATGATGATCAACTACGTGAGTTCATCATACAGAGTTCTGTATGACGATGTACTCTACATGAGTTCATCATACAGAGTATTGTATGACGATGAACTCTACATGAGTTCATCATACAGAGTACTGTATGACGATGAACTCTACATGAGTTCATCATACAGAGTACTGTATGATGATGAACTCTACATGAGTTAGTTCATCATACAGAATTCTGTATGACAATGAACTCTATATGATTTAGTTCATCATACAGAGTTCTGTATGATGATGAACTCTGCATGAGTTCATCATAGAGTTCTGTATGACAATGAACTCTACATGAGTTCATCATACAGAGTTCTGTATGACGTTGAACTCTACATGAGTTAGTTCATCATACAGAGTTCTGTGATGATGAACTCTATATGAGTTAGTTCATCATACAGAGTTCTGTGATGATGAACTCTATATGAGTTAGTCCATCATACAGAGTTCTGTATGACGATGAACTCTACATGAGTTAGTTCATCATACAGAATTCTGTATGACAATGAACTCTTTCTGCGTTACTTCATCATAAAGAGTTCTGTATGACGATGAACTCTACATGAGTTCATCATACAGAATTCTGTATGACGATGAAGTCTACATGAGTTCATTATACAGAGTTCTGTATGACGATGAACTCTACATGAGTTCATCATACAGAGTTCTGTATGACGATGAACTCTACATGAGTTCATCATACAGAGTTATGTATGACGATGAACTCTACATGAGTTAGTTCATCATACAGAATTCTGTATGACGATGAACTCTACATGAGTTCATTATACAGAGTTCTGTATGATGATGAACTCTACGTGAGTTCATCATACAGAGTTCTGTATGACGATGAACTCTACATGAGTTCATCATACAGAGTTATGTATGACGATGAACTCTACATGAGTTAGTTTATCATACAGAATTCTGTATGACGATGAACTCTACATGAGTTCATTATACAGAGTTCTGTATGACAATGAACTCTACATGAGTTCATCATACAGAGTTATGTATGACGATGAACTCTACATGAGTTCATCATACAGAGTTCTGTATGACGTTGAACTCTACATGAGTTAGTTCATCATACAGAGTTCTGTGACGATGAACTCTATATGAGTTAGTTCATCATACAGAGTTCTGTATGACGATGAACTCTACATGAGTTAGTTCATCATACAGAATTCTGTATGACAATGAACTCTACATGAGTTCATCATACAGAGTTCTGTGACGATGAACTCTATATGAGTTAGTTCATCACACAGAATTTGGTATGACGATGAACTCTTTCTGCGTTACTTCATCATACAGAGTTCTGTATGACGATGAACTCTACATGAGTTCATCATACAGAATTCTGTATGACGATGAACTCTACATGAGTTAGTTCATCATACAGAATTCTGTATGACAATGAACTCTATATGAGTTAGTTCATCATACAGAGTTCTGTATGATGATGAACTCTGCATGAGTTCATCATACAGAGTTCTATATGACAATGTACTCTACATGAGTTCATCATACAGAGTTCTGTATGATGATAAACTCTACGTGAGTTCATCATACAGAGTTCTATATGACAATGAACTCTACATGAGTTCATCATACAGATTTCTGTATGACGATAAACTTTATATGAGTTTATCATACAGAACACTACTTCTCAGTCCCACTCTTCTAAGATTAGTTGTATATTGCATAATGCAAATCAGAGTTGTGACGACGCGCTGAAGGTGGAGTTACAGAAAAGGTAGGAGCTTCTTTAAGAGACAGACCGATTTCAAGACGTTAAATTACTTAGTCAAATTTCTTTTATAGGTATTAAAGGTGCCTTATTTTTTAAATAACACTTCAGTAATTAAAAATCCAATTAAAATTTTATAGTTTTTGAGTCTTTATAGACCCAGAAATGTACCATAAATCTATGCCATAAATGGCTTGTGGTTTTCATGCAAAACTGTAAATTAATTCAATTTAGTGTGGGCATGTACCAATGTCCTTATAATAACAAAAATGACATTATTAACTCTGCAGGTGCAATGGATGGCTACAGAAATGTTAATGGTACCAGTGTTCGTTCAGTACCGACCTGTTCAAAGGGGGGCAGGTGAGGAGAGGTCGGGCTCATCATGCTCTGATGTTCTCCACAGCTCGGCCAGAACTTCTGCAGCTGATTCCTCTGGTGCCAGGATTTCAGCTCCTCTGACACGATCTCGCGGGGCAGCAGCCTGACGGTGTGGTTCGGGTAGTCTTTCAGCGAAGGAGTTCGGACCAGCCTGGTGTACGGCGGCGGGGGCTTCAGGATGCTTCTCTGGCACAGAGTTCCTCTTTGCAGATTGTGAACCTCTGGAGTTGCAGTCAGGAGGCCCTTACTGGTGTCCGTGTCTCGAGGCGACAGAGGCCCGTTTCCTGGTGTGGGTCTGACCTGTCCGCGGAAACAGGACAACTCCTTCGTCTGTGCCCCGAAGTGGAATCCGTAAGGCGGAGGGCAGAGCTTGGGAATATCGGTGGGTCTGTCCCTTCCAGGAGAGCAGACGGAGAAGGAGGAGGAGGAATGCTCTGAGCTGCTGTCCTCTGAGCTGCACTGATGCGGCCGCGGAGGGGAGAACTCTGGAGAGTGCACCACGGTTTCTGGGCCGCACCGCTGCAGAGGCGGGTGGACCCGGCCGCGGCAGCTCTCTGAGCCGAGCCGCTCTATGTCGATGGTCAGCTTCTTTTTGGGAAGTCTGTGGAGACATAAGACAATCATTAACCATAAAAGTAAATATGGCAAGCCAGTTTATGACAATTAAACATTTTTTTGCGTATCTTTTTTTTAAATTCAGTTAGTTTTTTAGTCTGAGCATGTTCCTGAAACCAGCTGGCTTCCTATTTGACGAACATCTCAGACTTCATTATCAATTTAATTCTGACTTGTCATGTGTTGTTAGGCTCTGTGAATGTTACTTTGGACATGAATGGTTTGTTCACCTGAAAGACTGAGAGTACTGTCGGCGTACGAGCAGCTCTGGAGTGGAGGGGGCGCTGGTGGAGTGGTTGTTTCGTAAAGCAGAGTTCCTGACAAACTGAGTCAGAGGAATCCTGCAGCTCTCTGCAGACACCGGAGCTGCTGCTGGACTACTGCACTCAATAAAGCAGGGACAATGGATTCTGTTAAAAATCACAAACATGTCGGAGTGTTCACAGTATAAAGCACTAACTTTAAAAGCCCTGAAAACATTGAGTCAGTATGTCTCAATTTGTCTCAAACCTCTCATACCTGGACCTGCTTCTGCTAGCTGGTTGAGGTTTAGTTGATCTCTGGTAAGGCTGATCCAGACTGGTTTCTTTCCACGGGGAGTTCTGGATTGGAGAGCGTTCATGCTCTGGAGACTGATGAGGCGACTGCAGGGGGTCTGAGTCTGAGGTGTCCAACACTGGGGGTGAGAGTGGGCAAGACGATTCTACATCTGGAGAGAACAGCAAAAAAATGACACGGAAAAAGATTTTTGCTTACAGAGTCAAACAAGAAAATTTATCAAGAAAAAAAAAAAAAATTAAACATCACCTATTCTGTTTATTTCAGAGTCTGTTTTACAGTGTGGTTTTACCTCGGTAACAGATGTGTAAGACTCACCATCATCCAGAGCCACCACATCAGAAAGGGAGCTGTCATCAGACGTATCTGCAGAGAAGAGGACATCTTCGTCACACTCCCTGCATTGTGCGGCTTGTCCTCCGGGGGGCAGCGGCGTCACTCACCTTTACTCGGGCTGCTAGAGATGGAGATGCACGGTGAATTGCACTCACTCTTGATCCTGTGCTGGAAAACGGCCTCCTGCAGATCCTTCACTTTCTTCTCTTCCCTTCTGCACTGCTGGAGCCGGCTCTTCTTCTGTGGTTTGCTGAGGTTCTCTTCGAGGGAGAGTTTTCGGGCCGCCTCGTAAATCTGCCGCTGGACTGCCAAGTCAGTTTCCAGAGCTTGTAACTCTGGATCCTGGGACAAAGCGAAACACGGAAACTTATTTCACCCCCCTGCTTATTCTTTTTGTCATCTACAGCGAGAACCAACGAGGTGGCGTTTGGTACCTGCTGGTCCTGAAGGATCAGACCTTCGTCCAGTTTGAAAGACGCTCCGATCCTCCTCCTAACCCGAGGCGGCTTCTCATCGGGCAGCAGAGGAAAGTCTGAGGGGATTGAGCCAGTCAGTTCCTGTGGAGAGAAAAGAAAACGTCGAACGACGGGACAAGAATAAGTCTCACGATAAGAAGTTAAATATTGTGTGTCTGTTCAGAGAGAATACCAGCTAAAACATTGAACTATCTCCTGAATTTCCAGGGGGTCACTTACCGCCTCCCTGATGCAGAGTTTTCGAAGCTCCAGCAGGCAGAGCTCCAGACGCTCTTCCAGAGATTGATGCTTCAGTTTCAGGGCTCTGGTGTGAGTGGTCGGGTCCTTCAGTGGAGAGGTGGGGCTGTCTGGGCCTGCAGCAAATACAAACACGACATCTTGACTAGCAGGGCACCGGTAAACCGATTTACAGGAGGTGTTTTCATAATTCTGTTTGTCCGATAATATTCTCTAGAAAGCTAGAGGCATTCACAAAACAGCTGTTTTTTTTTCTTTTTAACTGAGATTAAATGTTTTTACTAACTAGTTGTACTAGATTTTAATTAGATATTTGAGTAAAGAATGCTTATCCCAAACAGACAGACAGATGGCCATTCTGTTCACACTAGTTTGTAATAAAGATGTTAAAAACCATGCATCATTCTCTTTCTACTCTACATTTCTATGCTACCTTAACTTGGATTATAAAATATGACTATTGTAGTTGTCATTTGACACGATATGAAAAGGTCAGTATTGACTTTATACTGACTTAATCGTGTGAACTATGAAGTGTGAACTGTGCTGATGTTGGATTCCTGTTCAGTGTTGTCTTTACCAGAGTGCAAGATAATCCCACTGTCCGTGTCGCTGATCTCTTCTTTGCTCTCCATGGCTGTCATCTTGACTATCAGTTCTCAGGTTGATCACCTGTTGAGTCAAGCAAAGCGAAATGAATGAAGAGAAAAATAAGACAGCTCACTTAAGAGAAGGTTCCTGTGTTTTCATGCCACATGGCTTCAATTCTCCTCCCTCTGCTGCTTTACTTAACAAAAGTGAATGACTGGCGGGTGTTCTTTTTACACCCTTGTCTCCCACCTCCCCCTCCTCTTCGTTTTCTCTCCCATGGCCGGTCACAAAAGATGCAGACCCCCGTGGCTGACTCGGCACATGTGCAGGGGTCAATCTGAATCGTGGCGCCATGGTTACGGGGCACGGGGCGACTGGCCAGGGGAGCGTGTCAGCGCGAGTCGCATCACGGGGCGTTTAAAGAACCTCAGAACCAAAACAGAAAGCAGATGGCAGCGGGAGTGACCCCCGAACCCCCCCCCCCCACTCCCTGCCTTTCTGCACCTGTTCTCCCTCACTGCACCCCTCCCTCGGTTTCCATTCAACCAGTGTCCCCAGAATCCTCTGGGGGGCTTTGAAGTGGAAGAATGTCCTCAAACACGCAGCATCTCATCACAGGATCCGTGCACGGCGCGAAGCTTCTCCTTTTCACCTAAACACTCTGCAGAGCTGCTGTTCACGTCCTGCTCGGCTGCATCGCTGCTCCTCAGAGAGCATGTGACGGGGAATCGGCAAGAAGACGCAACAACAAGAGGAAAGCAGGAAGAACAACAAGATGTTTTTCTGTAGAGCTGAAACAATTACAGGAGGATGTGAAGGGATCAGACTGAAGACGGACTCTTCGTGTTCTTCTTACTTTTATTTCTTTTAAACCTGTAGTTCCCAAACCTTTTCATCCTCAAAAGTCTCCGGGGAGGAGATTGTAACCCTCATTTTCCACAGAGTTAGTTCAGTAATGGCAGCCAATATATCACTTTCATCTCAATGTATTACTCGCAAAATTAACCTCTGAAAGCTCCACACTTTTTGGATCATAACCCCAAGTGGGGGCGGAAGACAAATTTTGGACCCGCTGAGTTAAACTATTCAAATGAGTTGATAAAGCTAAGCATAGTCATGTTTCAAAGTAGCTTCAGCCCCAAAAATAAGTAAAATTTTAGGATAATTTGCTGGGGTCAATCTTCCACGCCAGAAGTGGGCTTGAAAATCTGTCAAGGACAAATTTGCTACAAAGATTTCTGACATTTCTTAAAACTATTTAGGAATCCTACAAAATTACTTCTTTAAAACTTGATTGAAAATTAGAATTTAACAATGGTGGCAGCATTATGCTTCAAAGCTTGTGTAATTATGACATGTTATGTTCACAAAAAACCTCAAACTACTGATGGTGTTCTGTGTTTGTAAACACAATGACTTAACGCTCCTCCTCCGCCTCGTCTGAAAAAGCTGCAGAAAACCAAAGGTGTAAACCAGAAAACTAAACTTGTCACTGCAACATTATTATTATTTAAATAGAGAATGCAAAGTGGCTATTTTTAAGATTAGAGAAAACAAATTTTGTGACTTGGAAAATTTAAGTGTCGGCTTACGATTAAACCATAAATCTAGGGGAGTAAATGGTCAATAAAACAACGTTAGAAGATCTTTGGTGGTTTACTGATGGCCCCAAATCATCCGGAGCTCAGGGCCTTGGAAAATCTTGGGTTGCCCCTGTTTTAAAGCATGCCTCTAGTTTTCCTATTAATACGGAGCACAAAGCAGCCTCTGTGTTAATATCAAGTAAACAAACCCTCCAGTGGACAGAAATACAGGATGGGAGGAGGGTTGACACAAAGTCATGCAGACTGTCGCTGAAACATCACCGTTTAATCCCCAGCTCCTGTCTGAACTGCTGTGTTTGGAGATTGATATCGGGCCCTTTCCTGTAGCTATGAGGAAGACTCTTAGCCTGTGTGAGTCAGGACCCTCTGTGACAGGATATTATTGTGCATCCCACTGCTCTGACCCATTCATTACGGCAGCTCATGTGAACTGACGCAGCCGGCGATCACAATGAGGCAAATGCTCGGCAGCTTGAGTCAGTAAAACAACTCTGCAACAAAAGGCCAGTATCAGCCGGCCAGGGCCCTCGCAAATCTGCTGCCGCCGCAGTATCTGCTGACGGCTGACGGCTCGTTGGGAAGGAGAGCCGTGTGGAGTTTTTGGCGTGGGGATTTTGGGGGGAATGTTGCCCTCGCAGACACATGGCTCCATGTTGCAGCAATCTGAAAGCTGAAGACGTCAACATGAATTAAGCCACAGGCGGGGTAGTGTGGGATTTACCCCGCTTACACCTCATAAGTGTCTGAAGAGTTTCACAAGAGTTTGTGGTTGGAGGGTCTGGGCTGAGCGAGTGAATGGCTGAGTGGGTGGATGGGTTTGGGGTCGGAGTTGCATCTTATTGCCAAAATGCTGATTTGTCATAAGAGTTTGTAGGAACCTGAAGCTGTAGGAGTGTTGAAATGTTTCTGGGAATCAGAGCAAATAAAAAAAACTGCTCGGGATCCTGGTGATAGCAGTGCCTCCACCCTCCAGACTCCACTGATGGATTCATAAACATCTTAATTGGTGAGACAGTGCCATCTTCGCGAATGATGACTATCTGTAAACACGTGGAAGGATGAAAGCAACCCTCATCCTCACAGTTCACTGGCCCTCGACGGCATAACGTCCACGGAAGTTGATGTTTAGGACAAGACATCATGATGCGTACTTTCTGTCTCCCAGACTTCCCACACCGCCCTTTCCCATGAGCCCCTCGGAGCTGCGGGCCGCTGGATTGCAGCCACCACCACTCTGCTCATTACCACTGTGGTCGGGCCTGGAATTACCAACGGGGACCGGTCTCAACTGAGGAAGCAGCGAGGCTCGCATGAAACCAGATCCGGGCCCTGCTGGAACCCTATAATTAAGATTTTCCTGCTGAATGCTGATACTTTGCGAGAAAACCCAAACGACTTTACAGCTCGCTTTTATTTCAGCCTGACGGAAAGCCAAAATCCATTCAGCAAAAAAAAAAAAAAAAAAAGAAAAAAAAAGAAGGGGATCAGCTCCATGCGAAGCACGGGCCGCTGGAGGAGAGAAGTGCATAGACAAGGGGGAGCGGCAGAGGAAAGGGAGGAGCTGCTGGATTACGAAAGGAGGCACAAGAAAGACAGAAGTTTGCAGAGATATCGAAGGAACTCTTTACAAAAGGAGGCCGGGAAGACAGGTAGCAGTTCACAAAGTGTTCCTGTGAGCAGACAACAGCAGTAATAATTAAGCACCATGCCGGCCTCCTCCCAGTCACCGAAGGCCATATGCTCTCCAGACCTCTGTCACAGCCCAATGACAAGAACCAATAAGAGACCGGCGTCATTGTTCTCCAGAGACTGAAGGATCGAAGGCTGTCCCTCTAGGCCAGCGTCCTTTCTGAGGCCTCTGACAGAGCGGCCACTTCAGGCCACCGGTCGGATGGAGTTACAGCTCAGCACAGTCACAAAAATGACAACAAAAAAAGACAAAAGAGGCAGGGCGCTCCAGTGGCAATAATAACAGCACAAAGGTGTTGGGGGACAACACTTCCCGTCTGTTAACATGTGGAATAGAGGAGATCTTGTTTATTCTGCTGCTGAGGAGACAAACAGGCACAAACAGAACCGCCTGCTGCTCCACAGGAGTCCTGGGGAGTGAAAACATCCACATTTCATTCAGCCGACAGCAAACAGTGACTGGCTCGCATTTATTTACAGCATAATTTGAACACGTTGTTTTATTTTTTATTGCTTTTAGCTGATTCAACTGTTCCAAACCGGATTAAGCGAATTAAAATCCTTCACTGGGCGTAGATTATACAAACAAGATGAGTAGGACGGAGTGAGAAATAACTAGGGTGTGCGTGTGGGCATCAATAAGTTGCGCAAACTTGTTTCTTAACGTTTTTTGCACGCTTTTGATAGTTTGCGCTGCGTTTTTGTGCGGATACCACAAAATGCACAAACATTTTCTAAATAATGCAATGTCGTAAAAATGTATTCCCAGGCTGTTGTGTTATATGTTTTCTGCCTTTCCGAACAAATGACCCAAAAAGTGTTAAAACCGATGTTTTTAATATGAATCTCAATAGCACAAAAAAAGTGCTGCATTCAAAACTCAGCGTTTAAAATAATCGAAAGTCAACATAGATACACGAAATGAATCCAGTGTAGATCCAGAGTTAAGGTACCAAGAGGAGACATTATATTGACCTCTAGCCTATTGCAATGGAGTTAAAAATGGCTGTGAAACGTAAATCACGACTGTTCGCCTTCATTTAGACAAATTGCATGCTGTTAAAAGTTCAATGTGGCTGGGCTCGTCGTACGAAACTTCATTTCTCAGATAAAAAAAAAAAAAGTTCTTCCACCTTCCCTTTGCTTCCCATTAAGCCACTTAAACGCCTCAAACTTTTCATGGACTCTTCCGGTCGTACCGTTTAGGCTTTGCTCTTAAGCGACAGAAAATATACATATATTGTTTTTGTCCTACCAGGTGGTTCGTGTTGTTCTCCTCTACAGCATCCTTTCTGCAGCCGCAGCAGCTTTGAGGACTTTTTCTCCGGCTGGATGTGAGGAGCGCCTGGGACATCTGCTCAGGCAGGACAGATCCACTCCCCACGAAGGGGTGGGAATGATCCGAATTGATGTTTAAACCAATAATAGTTATCAAACAGCGACTATTACTCTCATAGCATCCTCTTTTACATTTTTAGATCGGCTTTATTTCATCATTTCGGGTAGTTTGGATTATCTGTGCGTATATTTTAGTTTTAACCGCGTCCTCTCCCCCCCAGGGATGTTTGAGATGGTTTCGTCCAGCTCCGCTGACTTCCCAGGCACGCGCCTGTCTGCAGAGGAGAGGAGGGGGCTTTTAATTGAAAAGAGGCACAAAAGAAGAAGAAGGACGCTGGCTTCACTGAAACACCAACAGCTGGCGAGTCAGTAGAGGGAAATAATAAACCTGGTTTCTTCACTGGATTTAAGTTACTTCGCGTGAACAAACGAAGCCCAAATTGCTTCCCCTCCAACTCCAATTTAGCGGAGCAGTTTTCTTTTCGGGCTTTTGTTTCCAGGACTTTTAAAACAAATGCAACTAAAAGCTGTTTTAAAAATTTGTGCTTCGTCATGAGAGAGCAAGACTTGAAAAAAGGAAGAGAATCCAGAGCAGAGCAGCATGAAGAGTTTCCTTAACTTTGCTAAACAGGCCAACTAAACACGTGTGTTTTACTTTCAAATGAATTGCAGGTTCAAATCAAATAAGCCAAGATGTAAACACACAGACCAGATTCTGTCTTTTCACCCCACTGATCTTCTTTTTCCTTCAAGAGATCAGAGAGAGCGTATTTGTTGTCATGACTTTTGAGTCCCTGAATCTTAAAAAAAAAGATTTTTCTTTGTTTTTTTTTTCAACAATGGAAAATCTGTTGTCTGAATACATAAAAATGCATGTCAAATCTGCTCTCATATGAAGAGTCTTATTCTGCTAATTTATAAAATTGGAAAACTTTCACTAGGCTGTAATTAATTCACTGGGCACAATTTAAAGTCCGAAATGCAGGTATTTCTTTTTAAATAGTTCATTCTGCTTGAAAGAAGAAAAATAAAATGGAACTCTATGTAATATATTATGTAATAATTTAAACTCAATTACAAGATTCAGTCATATCTATCAGGATCTTAACGCTATTTGATTCAAAATTAAATTTCAATATCTAAAGTCATGCTATCAGATTAAGTCATTATTATGAGGTTCAAAGAATTGTTCAATGAATTTTGTCTTGAATTGCTCCAAAAAAATAACTCTACAAGATGGATTTAGTCCTGTGACCATCCAGAATGTCTCCAGTGCTTTAACCAGACCCTGGGGCGTTCCCAGCCTACACGTTCCTGAAAGCCTCCAGCAGATGGCCTGTCCTTTCTCCTCTCGACCCACGATGGAATGACGAGATTAGCTAATTAAACAAAGTCCTGCATCCCTGTGAAAGAACCATGAGCGTCCTGAGGGACGGGAGCTGCCTGCAAATCAATGCTGCTTTCAAAAGCTCTTGTACAGAAACGCATCAGTCCAAACCATTAAACCTTTTATTCCCACATCTCTCTCTCTTACACACACACATACACACACACACACACACACACACACACACACACACACACACACACACCACACACACACACACCACACACCCACACACACACACACACACACACACACACCCCCACACCCACACACACACACACACACACACACACACACACACACACACACACACACACACACACGCACACACACACACACACACACACACGCACACACACACACACACACACAGACAAACTAAAAATCAAAAAGCCGTGACAGAAACAAGTAAACAAACTTGTATTTTTTGTAATGTTGGGAGGTTCGTCTTACTAATATAAAACAGTGCTGTTGAAAATATTTCTTTTTAGTACATATATTGTAAAGAATCTGACATAACATGACATGATGATATTATGACTGGAACAGAAAACTGAGGATGGAACAAGCAAATTAGGAAGCATAAAAAAAACATAAAAAAACATTCAGAATCAGAACAGTGTTGCCTTCATTCAGCCAATAATAATAATCCATAATTTTTAGTTAAAAAAGAAAAAAAAAAAAAAAGGAAAACAAACGGAGCACTTCACCCCTCACCAAGAACAAAACTGTGAATGAGTTTTTAAAACTATATATAAATATTCTAAAAGGTGGACAAAGTTTTTTCATTACAATTAACAGTGAATTTGCAAATGTTAAATTACGCCGGTGTCTCTGGTTTGTTGTTGCAGCTCAGCAGGCTGTGAGCAGAAAACATTTTTAGGGCCACAACGGTGAGAGGCCGCACTGGCTGATGGGAGCAGATCAGGGCTGATCGAACGTCTGTGTGCGCCTCAGGTTCTCTCTGACGCGAACAAACTCTGGGATCTTGTTCTGGTTTTCCCGCTGCCTTATCTCCTCCTGCTCGTACTGTGTAAAGACAAGTTGAATTGGACACAGAAAAAAACAAAAAAACAAACAACTTTGACATGAAGTTTTGTTAAGAAATTCCACAAATTCCAATGTTGTTTGATACGGAGATTACGTGGGATAGGCAAACACAAAGTAGGACAGGATTGTGAAATAATATATGAGTTTCAATGTTATTTATTTGCCTTTTTAAGTAATGACATCTGCAACTATTGAGGTTTATGTCTCAGTTTTATCTTTAAGTGTTAGCAGAGATTCTCCATTGAATCTACACTTTGACTAGACCATTCTAACACATAATTAAACTTTGATCTTGTTTTTCTTCCAGTATTGCAAATCAACTCATGTCGATTCAGCTCGCTATACCAATCATCTTACTGTGTTTTCTGTTGTTCATTTTTGAACGATTCTCCACGAGGTGTTCAAAGCTTAGACTATTGTTTTACGACCCCAACCACAATTGGTTTATGCTAAATTACAGCAGGGCTAGCTTTCTGTTTATTAAACAAGTGGCTTCGGAAATCATTTGGATCTAATCAGACATAAGAGTGATGAATTAAAATGGACACCACAGTTTCCAGGCTTTAATTTGGAAAAAAAATAAACATTGCCACTTCCACTTCACAAATGGATTCTTCTTTGTTTTGGACGCTCATTTAAGATCCCAAAAACTGAACACATTTTGTGTGTGGAAATAAGTAGGCAGGAGAGACTGGGAGTTCCTGACCTCTTGCAGCTTCTGCTGCCTCTTTCGGAGCTCCGTCTCCAGGTCGGAGGGCCGTCGTTGGGCCATCTCCTCCTCCCTGTGCAGCTCCAGTCGGCGCTGCTCCAGAACCCGCTTCAGTTCTGGCTTCTCCTCCAGCAGCAGGCCTCTGAGCAGACACAACCGTAGAGCGTTCACTCAGACATGAAACAACCAGACACGCTAACAGCAACGTGCAGCCAGTGTTTGACCAAGGGCCGGCCCACCATGTAACCAAATTTGAAGGCAGATTAGGACAGTTTCTGGCATGAGAGCCCAGAAACAGATTTGAATTAACACACACACACCACTGGCACACAGTTATGCTGACAGTCCAACGTCAACACATTAAAAGCTATTTGTTCACAAATTCATCTGAGGCAAAGTGATAATCAGGCAGTACAGATTTTATTATTTTTTTTACTGCCGTTGTTGGCTCACTGGCACTACTTGGCTGGTTTTACGCCGCTCACCGTTTGTGACTGAGCATCAGCTCCCGGTGGAGGTGCTGGTAGCTCGGCGTCTCTGCTGAGGAGCCGTTGATTTTTCTGAGCTGAATGATTTCAGATCCGCCGCTGTCGGCTGCAGAATTATGAGCCAGAGGCAAAGGTCCAACGGGCATCTCTGAGGAACAGTTGAGGAGATTTCAAAGTGAGCGCCTACCTAACTTGAAAATGTTAAAACCACCCGTAGTTTGACTGTGCACTAGAATGAACTTGCAGATTGGTAAATAGCTAGTTGAATAAAAAGAGTTCTAATTTAGTAGTAAATAATAACTTTATCTATTACCAGTCTAACACACACCTTGTTTTATTGCTAGATTAGTTAATTTGCTCAGTCCATGCCTCAAATCCACTGCATGATAAAAATGAAACAAATCAATAAAAACGTCACCTACATTTTTATTTCTCTGTCAATTTTTTTTTAGTATCAGCCTAATGTCTTCCCCCAGCTGTGCCATTTTTAGGGCCAAAAAGATTAATCAGATTGAATATTGCAATACTTGTTAGCTAATTGATTGATCGATTGATTATTAACTGTACTTTAAAGACTCAGAAAGAGGACATTTGGGGACAGAACAACATATTTAGAGCAGTAATTAAGCCAAAACTGCACTAATTGATGTTACTGTATATTAGGAAATAACATATTTACTCTTTTACTTAAAAGAGGAATTAAATTATTTGTTTGGATTTTTTTTAAAGTGTTTTAGATATTATATGAAAGAAGCTTATTTAATTCTACAGATTCAATGAAACATATGCAGAATTTGTCAAAAATTTTTGCCAATTAACTAGTGGTATAATCAATAGAGTGATTGAACTAAAATAGTTATGGCCCCACTCATATTTACACTGCTTGACAGTTGTTTTTTTTTTACATACTTAAACTAATCGTGTGGCGATTTTCAATGTTACTCACTAACTCCCCCAAATATTACAATAGCATAATAGACAAGGCCCCACTCCACAGACACAGGAGCAATTTTATATTCAACATGTATGGGAATTTAAGAGAGGCTAAAGCAGGTTTCTAATTCAGTCTAGTATTTATTTGTGCCCATGCATATTTTTCACCCTCATAGTATACCGATTTCACAACACTTTTTGCATAACAAACATTCTGAAATAGCTTTTAGATGTTGTTCACTGTCCCAAGACAACCAGTGGCCCCCTTTTCGGCCCTTTGAAAATACTTTGCACCCTCTTGCCCCTCCCCGTGCTGGGGCTTTATGATACCTCTTTTGTGATTTCCATATCCTGGTTTCTGTGAAGATTGACAGGAGGGAGAGAGAGAGAGAAAACAATCATGTTAACAATATGTTTGGTAAATGATTTATTTATTTATTGTTATTATTTTTTTTTACGATCGAACACAGTGTATAGCCTGGGTCTGCTCTGCCGAGCCAGGAGGGTTGAGTTAAATGATCTCCGTTTCGTGCATCTTCTTGGATAAAAGATATAATTAGATAAAGGCTAAAAAAGACAGCGGCTAGCGTGCTGCTTAAGCAGGTCAGCTTTGTTGACAGAGGTGATATAACAGGCCTCGTCACAGGCGCGTGTCGCTGTGGTCCGGCGGTCTTCGCACAAAGCAAGAGTATAGTTTACATATTCCTCGCGTATTCCAGTGCAAACAAAGCAGCATAACGTATAAACGCCTCTGTTCCACAATCAGACGGTGACCCCGAGCCCGTGCACCGACACCAGATAACCTGAAGGAAGAGGATCACAGCAGATGGTACTTACTGTCTGAGCAGCCAGCTTCAAAGTCGGGGCAACCAATTGGTTTTTTTGTTGAAGAAGTTTCTGTGGAAAACCGCCCCGTTGCTGAGCATAATAATCCTCTGGCTTTTTGTCTCCAGGGATTGCGCCTTTCACTTTTTCTGTCGCGGACACACACACACACACGCACACACACACAGTAACCCTCCCTATCCCGTTTCTCCCCGGGGCCCGCTGCAAGAAAGCTGAGCTGAGAGATAATGTGTCAGGTGTCTGATCTGATAAAAGACATTGTTCCAGCCCAAACCTGCAGCTCTGACGAGAGAGTCCTACAGATAATCTAGTCCATCTGATTTACATCTTTTGATGCCAGGGAAACATTGCAGTGGAGCAAGCTGAGGATCTACATTAGCAAAAGAAAAAACAAAACTGGACAGGGTAACACATCCAGCGGGTTTATTAGAAAAGCTGCGATGCAGCTGAAAAGATGAAATTTGAATGCATTTGCTTATTTGAAAAACAACAACAAAAAAAGGAAACATCCTGGTGTGCAGTTGCAACGCTACGGCAACAGCCTGGTTATGTAATCATTTTCAGTAGGTTGAAAATAATGTTAGGTTAGCAATGTTTTTTTTTATGTTAAATTACTAGTATATGTTCTCCAGTACAACAAATCAAATCAAGGGATTGTGTGGATTATTAAAAGGACAATACACATCTAATTTTTTAGATATTGATTAAAAACAGCAGCACAGACTGTACTATTCCAATACATGTCCAATACAGATGCAATATTTTCTATCATCCTTTTCTCAGAAACATAGAAGTTTCTGCACAGATATCAATCTAAACCACTACTGCAACTCAATGTCAGTTGACCAAAAGTCAGCCAAACGTCAGGCAGATGGTCACCAGCCTAGACGCTGACCTCTCTCTTTCCTCCGCTACTGCAATCTAAGAAAACAGTCAGCAGCAACTCACTTTTTTAACACCTGATCCATCCATGGCAGGACGATGGAGCGCCACTGTTTTTCCTGTCCCAGTCACGGTGCTTCAGGTTCAATCCATCATTAAAAGGAGTCCCACAACCTCGCACAGTCTGATCTGTTTCTTTCCTCCATTCAAGGTCACCATGTCGTTGTTGTTGAGGGACCTGAAGGTTCGGTGTGCTGCTTGCAGCATTCGGTGGTAGTAGGCTCTCAAATCTTATTACGCCATTCAAGATTACCTCACAACCCCCCACAGGGCTCACAATCCCAGCTAAGTTAATTACCTCAGACGCAAATACAGCTTAAAACTAATGTGGGGCTGGGCTATTATCAGTTGACTCCTCTCTCAAAGAACAGCAGTGGTTACCTGGTAAATGTCGCTTTTGGGCTGGAAGAATTAACCTCCCCCTTAAGTCCCTACACCAAGTTAAAGATGGTAAAATCCTTTCTAACGTCGCTGTTCTGTTGCAAATCCCAAACCTTTTGGTATGTTCTGAGTTAAAGTTGAATTGATGATGTTATTTTCTCAAACTGAATTGAAAACACTGATAAGAGGAAAATGATTGAGCAAATGTAATTTGTGTTGACATCTTGTTAGGTCTGTTTTCCAGTTCTGTAGACTGATATTTTCTAAGGCAAACAACTAAGCAAATTATTCCATCATTTAAAGCATTATTATATTGAACGATACACTTGTATGGTGCTATGTATTTGTCATCACGCTGTTGCTCCTTAAAAGAAAAAATAAAAAATAAAATAATCTCTCTCTCTATATATATATATATATATATATATTAAAAAAATACATAATTTTCTTGTAGATAGAACAGTTTTCTAATTTTCTTTCTTTATCATAATAGTTAATTCCAAATACTTAGCCCAAATCTTTGTAATTAGTTGCTGTTCGTATGCTTTTGCATCTTGATAGTTTTTGTGCCTTTTTATTAAAAAGGAAAAAAAATAGTTCTGTTTTAGTTTTAATTATTCTTTCTCCCATTAAGTTTTGCATTTTCACATGTTTTGTATATCAATGTCCTTAGCAAACGCTGTTAAAAGTCAGAAATAAAAGTTTTACGTTTCATTGTGGTTGGATGTACTCCACTCCTCTCCTAACAGATTTTATATATATATATATATATATATATATATATATATATATATATATATATATATATATATATATATATATATATATATATATATATTGTTTTTTACGTTCTATGGACCTCAAAATTATTAGTTTAAATTTTTTTAAAATAAAAAGAATTAAAAGAAATTCAATCAAGTTGTTGTTTTCAAACATGACCACAAGAGGGCGATGTCGTATAGTCTGTTACTTTTATGTCCCATAATTCCACGCGGCCGTCACCTTTAAACCCGGATGCGGAAGTGCGTAATCCCTACAGTGTGAGAGGAGAGCGCGTGAGTGTGTGAGTGAATGATGAGTGCTCGTGTGTCCGTCTTTCTTTCTGTAATAACCTACACAGTGATCTTATTTGATCCGACCCGAGTTGGGCTCTGCTCCGGTTGGAGATGATAGGAAAGCCGCTCTGCAGCCTCCGTGGCGGTGAGCAGCCGGCGAGAATCAACCCGCAACAGGGCCTCCACGCTTCGCGCTGTGGTCAGAAGTGATGAATTGATCAGATATACTAGTTCTGGTTTGGCCCGAGCTTCGCTTCGGGCCTCACGATGGACGATGAGTCCAGAGGCGATTCTGATCTCACCACAGCCGAGGAACAGCGAGGAGACCTGGACACGGTTCCCAGAAGCCTGGGAAAGATGGCTGGCTTTAGTTTCAGGGTCGTCCAGGTCTGGATAAAGAAAACAACGCCCTATAAGTGTTTTCAGCATTCCTGCCCCGCACCTCATATTCTAGTTGTAGCCTCCCTCCCCGTGTCTCTAACTTCACATCTTCCATTTTCTTTGTTCATTCCTAAACTCCTCCCTCCCTTTTTTTACTTTCTTTGTTTTACACCCCTTCCTTTCATTACATCCTACTATCCTTTCCTCGTTAAAATAGAAATAAAATGTTTTCTGCGTAAGTGTTTTTTTTTTAACTTTACGCCTGAAGTGTCCTTCGTAGAATAAATTTAGGTGTGAGTAAAGTGGCACACACCACTTTACAGTTATGTGAAAGTATACAATTAGAAGTATGAGTCCCGAGCTGCGACTCTAAAATCCTAGTTTTCCAGACAATAGTGAAACATGCAAAAATTAGTATTTTTTTGGTACTGTTGCAGGCATTAAACAATCTCCTCTTCAGTTAAACCTTATAAGCAGAGACCCACAGTTGATGTTACCATCATACAATGACCTGCAATCAAGTATTGGCAAAGCTCAATGTAATTTTCACAGGTGGTGGAACGTTTTTGTCAACAGCTGCTGAAAGTAACTAAAATAGTTCAGTAGTTATGTAACTTAGTTACTTTCCAAATCAAGTAATCAGTAATGTAACTTACGTTACTTTTTCAAGACGTAATCAGTAATCCGATCACCATGCCATCACTGCTTTTAGGTCAGAAGTGACATACATGACTTACATCATCCAAAAAAAAAAATAAATAAATAAAATCCAGATTTTTCTCCTCGGTGCAGTTTTTGAAAATCACAAATCATGAACCACATCTGCATAAGAATAGTTGTTAACGGCACAATGGAGGAGCTTCGTTGTGATGAAGTGCGAAGGAAAGAGGGCAAGTTCCGGGCGGCAAATTGCAAAGTCAATTGTTTTTAAGCTGCGTTTGCCATGCAGCATTTTTTTTAAAGAAGTGAAGGTAACATAGGTACTTCACTTCGCTATGAAATGTAACTATCTCCCTGGAAAACACATATTACCACAACACCGCCACTTAAAATAAAAATAAGCCAAGTTTGCAAAATCGTGCTTCGCAAACTACAACTCCCAGATGTAGAACATTTTTCCCCCTCCTTTGACGTCATAATTTGTTTATACACGTGACCTTAACGCTCCAATCGCGTTTCTCAAAAGACTCAGCAAGAAGCGGGAGAGCGGCCGGTCTCCGAATCTCGTCCTGTTTTCTTCCAAATTCCTGTCGTTTTTCTCGTCATGGCGGAGCCCAGTAAAAGACAGCGGCTCAGCCATGTCACCAGCGGCTCACAGACGGCCTCTGCGAGCCTCGCCCGGCGGCCCGAAGCAGCAGGAGAAGCTGGCTCCTTTGTGGAGGGCTCCATACTTCGCATCACGATGAAAAACTTCCTGTAAGTCGTGTTTCCTGCGCTGTCAGCTAGCTGCCGAGACCAACGGCTGTGAACTGAAACTGCCGCAGGAAGGAAAGCTAGCTTTTCTACGAACTATTCATGCATGTTGAAGTCTTTCATTTAAATCAGTCACCTCTCTTTGGAGAGGTTAACTGTATTTTGTATGTGTTAATAAGGAGATAGCGTACAAGCAGAAGAAAAGAAGATTGATGCTTGGATTTCAGATTGTTTTACTAATTAAAATCTTAAAAACTATCTGATAGGTTTATATTCCACCCCCTTTCACACCTGAATAAAATAAGAAAGCGACATATCATAATTCAGGCATCAGATGAAGAAATTCAAATATCTGATCATTTGTAAATACACTCCTCTTGTGGAATTTAATCTCAGTTTCAATCCAGCTGTTTTGCAGAGACATCATGTTTGTCAGTGAACATAAGTAAGCAAACGGCATCATAAAGTTGCAGAGAGGTGACAGAACAGATCTGAGCATCACATTCAGCATTGTTCGGTTGATTTTTTTTCTAGATCAAATTAGTATAGCAACTCTGTTAAACTATCAAAATATGGCTGTCCACCTTCAGACTAAGGAAAGGAGAGCAACAATCAACTTACAGTGAATCAGGACCTGCAGAAATCCATGGCTCAGCTGGGAAAATCTGATTTTCAGGAGAACTATTACTCGTACATGCCACCAATCTACCCGGGCAGTAAAACAGAAGGATTCCACTGTTTAAATAGGTAGAGAGAAGCCTCATGTATACTAGCAAAAATCCATACGGTGAACACAGCAGGTGCTCTGATCAGATGGGACCAAAATGTAAAATCTTGGACCACATGCAAATGAACTAACAAAGCAGTCTGCGCTTCACTCAAAACACACCAACGGTGAAACGGCACGCTGTAGGGAGGTGCCGTTTTTGTGCCGGAGGAGACAAGACTGACTTATATATTCACTTTGTTGCATGACGGTAAAGCTAAACATATTGCCAAAGAAAGGAAGGAGTGGTTTAGATGGAAGCCAGTGTGTCTGTTCAAATGGCTCAATCAAAGCCCAAACCTAAAATCTCATCAAAAACTTGCTGTTCACTGGGCCTCTGAATCCACTCCGACTAATAATTAATTGTTTTGCAAGAAAAAGTGGGCATAAAACTGCAAACTCGATCGTTGGGGCTGTAATTGCATTTAAAAGAGATTTATTAAGGCATGTATTTTATCATATAAAACCCCAATGCAACACATTACTTGAAGCTGTAACATGAGATAAGGTTCAAGGGGCTTCCATTCATTTGTAAAGGATTTGTATGATTCACTTCAGTACAAATACAGTCACAAGATGTTACCATTATTACTCATATTTTGCATGTTTGATAGTTTCCATTGTATGCCATCAGAATTAGAATTTTGGCTTGAATATGTTCTTCATCTTAAAACTGACGGAGCAGAACCAGACAGAGAGACAGAAAGTTTGCAACGCATCATCAGTCTTTATCAAAAGTGATTTTTCACTTGTGCGCTGACAAACTTAGATGTGTTCTCTTGTGCACTGACAGGACATACGACTACTCTGTGGTGCATCCTGGACCGAATCTCAACATGATTGTTGGAGCCAACGGAACCGGAAAGTCCAGCATCGTGTGTGCCATATGCCTGGTTCTGGCTGGCCGGACTGTAACTCTGGGCAGAGGAGACAAGGTAAAAAGAAAAATCCCAACCAAGGCGTCATGCATGATGAATCTATTTTGACCTTTAGTTTTTTAAATATGTGGTAGACAGCTGATGTAAATGATGCAGATATGAAACATTTTTGGCAATTAGTTGATGATTATCAACATGTGTTTAGGTTGGGGTGTATGTGAAACGTGGCTGTCAAAAAGGTTTCGTTGAGATAGAGCTGTAAGTGATAGTCTACGCTTTCATTTCACTAACACACCTTTGATTTTTAAGAAAGTTGCTACTAAATTCTTAATCTTTCATGTGGCCAAAATGTAACTTTTTATTGTGTAAAT